GGCTGCTGGCGCCCGTGGGGGACCCCGAGAAGCTGATCTGTGTGGGGCTCAACTACCGTGACCACTGCCAGGAGCAGGGCCTGAAGGTGCCCAAGGAGCCCATCATCTTCAGCAAGTTCCCCAGTGCCATCACCGGGCCCTTCGATGACATCGTGCTCCCCCAGGACAGCACTGTGGGTACCCCGGGACTCGCCCCTGCAGCCCCCCCGGGGGTCGAGACCCCCAACCCCCTGTGCTGTCCCCGCAGGAGGTGGACTGGGAGGTGGAACTGGCCGCTGTCATTGGGAAGAGGGGCCAGCACATCGAGGTACCCCCCGCCCCACCCACACCTCGCCTCGAGGGGCCCCTGTGTGTGTGCACCCCCTGTAAGGGGGTCCCGCTGCCCCCCAGGAATCGGCAGCCCTGGAGCACGTGGTGGGGTTCATGGTGGCCAACGACGTGAGCGCCCGGGACTGGCAGATGCGCAACGGGCGGCAGTGGCTGCTGGGGAAAACCTTTGACACCTTCTGCCCCCTGGGGCCAGCCCTTGTCACCAGGGAGGCAGTGAAAGGTGGGGACTCGGGTGGGGATGGGACAGGGATGGGATGGGGACAGAACAGCAATGGAGATGGGACGGGGGAGGACTGGGAACAGCAGGGACAGGGATGGGGACGGGATGGGCCAGGATAGGGACAGTGATGGGGACTGGACAAGAACAGGACAGCAATGGGATGGGGACAAGGATGGAGACAGGACACAGATGCAATCTGGACAGGGCCAGGGCCAGAAGTGGGACAGGATGAGAGCAGGACAGACATGGAGGTGAGATGGGGATGGGGACAGTGAGGACAAGGATGGGCACAGGGATGGAGACAGGACAGGGCAGTGGTGGGATCAGAACAGGATGGGGGTGAGACACAGATGGGATGAGAACAGGACAAGCATGGGGATGGGAAACAGGATGACAGAATAGTGATGGGATGGGGATGAGACACTGATGTGTTCAGGACAGGGATGGGACAGGGACAGAATGGGGACGGGGCCAGGAGGAGAACAGGATGAGGACAGGACAGACGTGGGGATGGATGGGGACAGTGGGAACACAGGTGGGGATAGGGATGGAGACATGACAAGGACAGGACAGTGATGGGATAAGAACAGGATGGGGACAAGACACAAATGGGATGAGAACAGGAATGGGATGGGACAGGGACTCTTTCCCATCTCACAGTGGTGGTGTCACCCCGCTGTTTCCCCGACCCCCCCGTGTTTTCCCCCAGGCGGGGCTCACAGTGGCACTGTCCCCACATCCCCTGTGTCCCTGCAGACGTGCACGACCTGGGGATCCGCTGCAGCGTCAATGGGCACCTGATGCAGGACAGCAGCACCCGCCACCTTGTCTTCGGGGTGCCCACCCTCATCGCCTGGGTGTCCCGGTAGGAATGGCGAGCTGGGGACCCCCAGAGCCCAGGAGGTCACAGCTGACCCCCCCCTGTGTCCCCAGGTTTGTGACACTGGTCCCTGGGGACATCCTGCTGACAGGGACTCCTGGTGGAGTGGGGGTCTTTCGGAAACCCCCTGTCTTCCTTAAGGTGAGGGAAAAGAAGGGCTTGGGTGGGGCTGGGGGGCAAGTGGGGACACAGTGGACCCCACCAGGGACAGATGCCACCATGTGCCCTTTCGCAGCCCGGGGACGAGGTGCAGTGTGAGATCGAGGAGCTGGGCACCATCTGCAACCGGGTGGTCTGACGGTGGAGGGACCCCCAAATCCCACCCCCTGTGGGATCAATAAATCAATGAGGCATCAGGTCCCTGTGCCCCATTTATGACTCTGAGGGGGGGGTGTTACAACTGGGTGAACTGGTGGATGAAGGCTCTCAGCTTCTCCCGGTTGGAAGCAGACTGGAAAGGCTGGGAGAGCTGGAGGAGGGGTCCAGTGGGGCTCTGCAGCTCCTCCAGCACCTGGGAGGGCACAGGGAGGTCAGGGGGGGCAGCAGGATGTTGGGGTCTGGGGGTGGCTGTGCTTACCCCCA